GGCCTACACACACAGAGAGAGAGAGAGTGAGAGAACATAACGTGGAACACGTTGTGGCACCCCACTGCCACTCGAATGGAATTATGGCAGTAGCATTGTCCAAAAAAAAAAAAAGAAGTAGCTGCGACCACAACCGCACCAATCCGCAACCAAATGCACTCCTACCCTTCCTTTGGAGCCATGGTCAACTTATCCAGTAGCTCACTTCGTTCAAGTTTTCCACGCCCCTCATTGAAATCTCTCGTAAAGTCGTCTTCGGCGTCGTTGAAGAACGCCTCAATAGCATCACGATCAGCCTGTCCAAGTGGGGTGTCAGCCTTCTCGATACTTCCTGGCGGTGACTCCTCATGCAAGCAACGATGTCCCTCAGAGCGTCCGTCTTGTCCCTGAAGTGCACTGTGCCTCTCACGCAACGTAGACAGTTCCGCCAGCAGCTTTGCACGGACCACCTCCTCCCTTGATGTCGTCATCACCCCAGAGTGCGTCGAAGTCACCCTTTTCGATTTCTGCATTCTGCCATAAAGGGAAGGAGGAAAGTAGGAGAGATAAAGGGAGAAACACACCCAGAGATATACAAAAAAGAGAGAACCCAAAAGACCATGAAACTACGTGAGCAAAAGGCGTCCGCCAAGCAACGTCAAATAAGTGAAATTGAAATGAATGCACATGATCAACTCACAAAACAATAAAACGTACAAACGCAATAAAACAAAAACACACAATAGAACGCAAATGCAGACAATGCCCCTGTAAACGGTTAATAAAGAAGGTGGTAGAGGGAGGGGGGACAAAAAAACAAAACACCGCAACGTTAAACATTTGCATCTCATTTTACTTCAACACACCTGGATAATAATATTATGGCATATATATATATATATATATATATATATGCCATAAAGTAAACATCACATGGCAGATCTCTGGTTTTGCACCCGGGGAATTTGAGCGATAAGGAGGACCAACCACAAGGATCTCTCAGTTTTGTCCCTAAACGCCATCTCAACACACTTGCCCCCAGCCTCCTTGCAGAGCTCAAGGCCAATCGCAAATTTCTGTGATGGTGAAGATACCTGCCTCGCGCGCTTGACCGATTTAAGAGTAACAATGTGGCGAGTCTGTGAAACGTCATTGGGGTTATCGAAAAAAAGAAGTGTCTTCGTCTGGCTAAGCACACAATAGAGACGGCTCCAATGACGCCCAAGCTTTAGAAAAACATAATCCTGTCGTATGATTCGTTCACATTCGAGGCTGCAACTTGCGTCAACAGGAGGGCAGATGTTTTTTTTCGTGGACTGATCGATAAATGGACGCAACACCCGTAGCGAGTGTGACGCCAGACGTTTGCCCTTATTCTCCGCCGTGCCATCCGCATCGTCCAAAAGAGCACCAGCGGGCATGGCTTCGGCCCGTGAAGACGACAGCACGGACTGCTCCATAATGTTTAATTCGTTTCTTAGCCAGAGGTCCGATAATCGAATATCCACACAATTGTTCTTCATCATCGCGATTTGTGTGCGCAGTATTTCCAACTCCTTTTCGTAGGAGTTCGACAAGGCAGAAACCACATGCTCATCGTAGGCGGGGGTTGACGTAATTGACACAAATTGTTTGTTTTCCTCGCGCTGCTGGTGCAGTTCTTCGCGGAGTTTGGTAACGTCCGCCAGTAGCTCCTTCTGCTTCCACGTCTCGCTGCCATCTCGCTCCGCCATTGCCCTTCGAAGAGCACGCACGGCACCAAGACTATCTGAGAGCTTGTCGACACACAGCTTTAGCCTCGCGTTGGTGCCACGAAGCAGATGGTACATGTCGTGGTGGACAATGCGGAAGATCTCCGCCAATTCCACACCGTACTCCATTACGATTTGAAGCCTGCCAGTGCACTCATTCTGGACAATATCCGTCGCCGAGACCACCATTTCCCCCATCGCACTTCCGTCACCTACCCTTCCCAGCGCAGGCTATTGAAGAAGAACAGATCAAACATCATGTAAACAGACACAATCACATACTGAGAGAGAGAGAGAGGAGGAAAGCGTTGATAAACCACAACAACGCAGCAAACAAAACTGCACACATTCACACATGTAAACAACAACAACAAAAATAAAAACAAATCAAAAGTAATAACTATAGAGAGAGGTTCGAGGCCTGGCATCGTCTCACCATTGGCATCGCATGATGCCAAGACTATAGCACGGTAAGTGAACGGGGTAATTTGTGCATGTGTAACTGTGCGGTGATCCGATTTTTCTCTTCAAAGGAAATATGGAGAGACAAAAAACACCGGGGTGGGATGAGAAGACCCAAAGCCTCAGGCATCGTGGTTGTGTAGTGTATAGCCGGACAGTACATATCATCAAACCAGGAGGGGCAAAAAAAAAAGGTTGCAAAAACAATTTTTTAAAGAAAAAGCATCCGCCTCTTTTTATTTTGCCCCTCTCGGCTGAGTTTTATTTAGGAACAAAATAATAATAATAATAATCCATACGGCAATTTAGCAAGACATGTACATGTGAACATATTATTACATGTGTCGTACCACACCGCAACTAAAAGGAAAAAAACGAAGGCAACACCCCTCTACAAAAACACCCGGTTCCCTTACGGCGCTTCACGCCAATCAATCTAAAAAATCACCGCAACAA